GGAAAAGAATCCACCAAGTGGTACAAATGATCCCATCAAACTGCACCGATAATGGGATATTTTATTCAAACTCTTATTATCAACATTTCTATGATATTTTATTGTTTGTTTTTATAAAAAAGAAGCCTCCTGAGAGATTATGAGACAATTTAACTTTAGATGTCATCAGCGATCTTGTTTTGAGTCAATTTAAGTACATAACAAAACATATTAATTAGTAAATAATCAAATTTCGCTATGAAAAGTCGAGAATTTCTATGTGCAACGCAGATTAGATCTCAAAAGAGAAAAAGACTGTGATCCAAAATGAGACAACTAACCTCCTCCTCCTCCAGGTGTTATCATATTTGAACTACCACCAGTACTCACTTTTCAGAAACAATAAAATAAACCCAATCCTTAAAATTCATGAACTAAGCCTTTACGAACATTTTAAAGTAAATTCCAAGAAAGATTTGGAGACTAACCTGGACCTGGGATATGATTCGGGTCTAAGAGAAGTGATCGGCAACAGATGCAAATCCCAGTCCTTCCCAATCGAAGGAAATTTAGTCGCGAATCTTAAGTAAGTTTCATAGCTGGCAGCTGCGCCGATCAGCCAAACTTTACCGCCATGGACGTCGACCAGAGTTTTCAGTTGGCCAACAACACGGCTTGCTCGATCATCGGAAGTATTATCGCCGACAAATGCCTTTAAGTCTCCGAAATTCACTATCAATCCAGGCTCCGGCGACTGCTCCACCATCTGGACAACTTCCACAAATCTCATATTCAAAGACCTCATTTCGGAATTCTCAGACAAAAAGCTAGAGATATCGTTCTCGAGGCAAATGTTTCTCACACCGGCCAATTCCTCCGGCAAGAAGTTGTCGTTACGTTTCTCAATGGCCTCCGTGAAACCCTTGAGCGCAACGTTAGCAGATACTCCAACGAGCAGCGGATTCCTTCCCCTGTTTTTCCCCAAAACCTCCCCGATCCTGCGATTATTTTCGTTATCGTCTCCATCACGAAATCCGGAGAGGGGGAGCAAGAAACCCCGACGATTGGGATCAGGACAGTCCATCAAATTACATAGGAATAAAGGGGGCACTCTAGCGCGAGAGCTGTAGCGAAGAAGCTGAGGAAAAGGGCGAATAATAGCAAACTTGATTTCAGAGCTCCGAAATCCGGCCTCGCCGAAAACCCTACTGACGACAGGATCGTCAAGAATGGAGAGAAGAAAATGCTGGAGCTCCACTTTGACGCAAGCAATGGAGGACTGGTGAGAGAGCTGGTGGTACAAATGGAAATTCTCCGGCTGGCGGCGCTGGTTGGCCTGAGAGCGCTTAATGGCGGCCATGAGGGAGTTGGAGACTGGAGGGTCATCGGAAAGTTGATTGGAGGGGACTCGGTCGAGAGAGACGCTGAGACAGAGCTCGAGTGCTTTGAATTGAAGACGAGGAGAATAAGCAGTGGTTTTGCGGGCGCGTGCACAGGCGTCGCGTAGGGCGGAGGAAGGGAGAGCGAGAAGAGCGGATATAGCATGAAGCGACGTCGTCTGAGCGTGTCCACGGCGGCGCGCCACTGCCACCGCCTCGTCCAGCGCGTGTGCTGCATCTGGTGCTAAGCATTGCCGAGCTAAACTTACCGCCGTAGGCATCCCCGCCGAGCATACGAAAACCACTTCAAATTTAGAATATCAATTTTTTTTTTTTTTTTTTTTAATACAAATAATCTACAATTTTTTTTTTTTTTTTATAAAAAGAAAAAACAAACCTCTCTCTCAATCTCTCGCACCGAGTCTCTTTTATAATTCACAAAATATGGGAAAAAGGAAAAGAAAATGATACGAAATTCTAAGAATAAGAGACTTCGAAATATAAATGAAATATATATATAAAAAAAATAATAATAATAAACGGAAAAAGAAAGGAAGGGTGACGTGGCAAGAGGTATGACAATGGTGGTGAAAAGTAGGTCCCAGCAATAAGTGTGGGCCGTCCTATGGAGAAGGCATTTTACTACTACAACAACAACAAGAGTAATTGAAGATGTGGTATAGATTAGATTCTAAATATCTTAGGGCAACATCTTTCCTTGTCTTACACTTTATTTTGCTTCAAACTTTTTTTTTTGTTTCCTAAACATGAATTAGCATAAGACGTGGATTATTAAACGTGTTAAATCCTACATCAGTTGGAGAGAAAAACGAATCATTTCTTACAAAACTATGAGACTGATGATGATATGTAATGAGTCGAAATAGACAATATCTACTAACCACCATGAGTTTGGGCTGTTATGGAACGAGGCCCGCATGGTAGAAGGTAGGTTGAATAGAAGTAGGTGATGGTGAGGGGAAAATATGAAAGAGGGAGGAGAGAGATGGTGGTGGGGTGATTCTCAATCAAGGAAATAGAATAATAGCGTTGAAAGGAAAGATGGTGAAATGTATTGAATCCAATCCACCAACTTGGGGGTGGGACTGGGGGCCAACAGGACACACCATTGGTGAGTCACACTCAGTGATTGCTTACGCTCTCATATAATCTTCTTTTCACTTTTGTGATGTTTTACTATTACTATTACTATTACTATTACTATGTTCAATGAGTTGAGTCACCAACAACTTGCAGGCAACTCGGTATTCCTTTTCCTCCTCCATATTCCTTCCTTTTCACTCCCAACCTCCATGCAATTATACATCCCAAAAGGTTGAAAGTGACCCAAAAGAGAAACTATGACTCCCAACTCCAACCACCACCATACACATTCCATTCATGTGCAAACAACGCAGGTATAATTCACAATTGAAACCTCCACTTTTGGAATATGGAGCCCCCCCGCTCCTTTTCTTCTTGCGACCAGACCAACTCAAAACATTTTAAGTTCTAACTTCTTTATTATTTGAAAAAATTAAATGAAAAAATCTTTGGTTACTTTCAGATAAAGTAGCGAAGGAATTTTCCCTTTTCTTTCTTTCTTTTCTCACTTCGTCCTTCTCCTTCATCGACCCAAGAATTAGAGAACATCAGAGAGCAACACGCAGATGATAGCGATAGGAATGGGAGGAGTTAAAGCTTATAAAGGTGTTTGATTTGATGTGTTTTTTGTTCCTACCTGCTTTCCTAAGCTTTTATGACTTTTTATTTTTTCACAAAACCTTTTCAGTTCCTTTTTTTCCTCTCAATACACCAAGCAACCTCTTCTTAGATATGAACTTTTTCAGCCGAACTCCCAACACTTCCATCTCTATCTTTGCTCTACCCACCTTCATCATTTAATAACTTATACAGATTTGACACAACCACTCAAATTCTACAATACGTTATATACATCTACTTTTTTCATCATCACAAACAGTCTTTTCCATGACCTGTGCTTCTAAATGTTAAACCTATCACAACCTATTCCTTACTCCCCAAGATGATATCACAATTTAAAACCTCAAAAGCTTTACCTATCAAGAATTGTTAGACTTCAACAGTTCCCGACTATCGAGGATAGCTTTCAGGCTATTTCAACGGGTTTTCACTGTCAAAATATGTTTCCAAGCTTTTGTAATATATAATACACACACAAATAGACCACTATACATAAATTCTCAAAACAAGACAGCAGACATACAAATCAAGCTCCCTTTAAGCAAAACACTAAGCAAAAATGGACGGATCCTTATCCCATTAATTGATAATATCTGATCAAATATATGTATCTTAAACAAACAATTGATTGTAGTTCACACTTGCAATACAGATCAAAAGCCAATCTCAAGCAGTCCACATGCATCCTTTGCCTACTGATGTTTGAGTTGTTAAAGAGGTAGGCCCAATCAAAACAATTATCTCTCTGCCAGCAACTCATCACCAAACTCTCAGTCTACAGAAACTCATATCATAAAGAGGGGGGGGGGG